GGGGACAATCTTTTTAGTAGAGATAGCAGTGACAGGACGAGGGGTAATGGTTTTAAACTAAAACAGGGTAGGTTTAGGCTGGATATAAGGAAGAAATTCTTTACAATGAGGGTGGTGAAACACTGGAACGGGTTGCCCAGAGAGGTGGTGGAGGCCCCATCCCTGGAAACATTCAAGACCAGGTTGGACAGGGCTCTGAGCAACCTGATCTAGTTAGTGGTGTCCCTGCTCGCTGCAGGGGGGTTGGACTAGATGACCTCTAGGGGTCCCTTCCGACCCAAAACTTTCTATGATTAGCACTGCATCTTACCACTTGCACTTTTTTCCTGGCATCACGCATACTTTTCAATGGTCCTGGCTTTTTTTTTTTTATTGAATGGTAGCTGGTACACTACTGAAGCTCCAGTACCAAATAGATGTTGCATTTCCTATGCAAAGAAATGAAATGAAAACTAGTAAGTCTGGCCTGGTGACATCAACCTTTGGTGAATGCTGATGAACATCATTAATTGTTCCAGCATGTTAAAGAATAATCTTTGCCTAGTATTTTAATTCACGATCCTGTTTCAGAAGGTTAGGAGGACTGAGCAGGAAGCAAATGGACTCTTCCAGAGAAGCTCAAGCCTTTGGTTTAGCCACAGGGCCTGCAAGAGCGATGAGACTTAGCAGCCAGCATGTTGTAGCTTTCTTGCATAACTAAAAGTAGATTGGTCTCAGTGAGTACCACGTCAGTGCTTGATATTCGCACTGCTGATACCTGATTTTGCGTTTGTGATGAGCACATGCATAAGGATGAATTAATTTTTGGTGCATTCAGTGTTGGACAGGCACCATATCGAGAGCTGCTGCTTTCAGAATGGCTCTATGAGAAAGTACAGCTCACTAAGGCAGAGTGTTCATTTGTCAAACAAAAATCTGCAAAGCTTTGGTGTGGACTAGTTCTACTCCAGCCTATTTGGGCAACTGTATGTCATACATTTAAAAAAAGGCCATTCAATAGCTGTCTTTTAAAAAAAAACAACAAACAAACAAAAAAAAACCAAAATGAAAAACCAATCCTCAGATGAAGAAAAGTATCTGGTCTAACAGAACATTTGCCGAAACCACTCAAGAGGGACTGAACTTGAGAGTTGTTTGCTAAAACTAGAGCAATTACAACTGTAGTAATGTAATAGCTACTGAAGTAGGATATAATTTTACCAATAGTGACCTAACCTCTGAGTTTGGTAGTGAAATTACAAATTGATAGCAGTTAACTTGGATAATAATTTTTCATGTTCCTGCAAATCAACAAACAAGCCTGAAAATAAAATAAAAAAATTTCACATCAGTCAAATGAGAGCTCTATTGTGTAAAAAGAAAATTGGTGGCACAAGGTCTGTGCAGAACAATGTATTCTTGCATATTTCAATCAATGTGCTCTAATTGTGTGCAGTCATGACGGGTGTTCACCAACAGCAGCGCTTAGCACGAGCCCCGTTGTTTTGATGGATGAGACTGGCTTGTAGCGAGGCATGCCCTGGCTTTGGTCTCGGGTATTACAGGAGAAATTACAGGCCAATCTTTTCCCTTTCTGTACTGGATGAGATAATGAGACATGCTCTATTTAGATCTTGGTTTGACCTTAGATCAACATGATTTGCTTTAACCTCTAGTAAAACTTCAAGTACAAATTAAAAATTAAATGGTTACATATTAGTACCTACTATCAGGTTTAGTTTTCTTTTTAAGTATGCACAATTTTGAACAGGATAGATTAACTTGGAATTCTCAACTTCTACCTTTGTCTAGGATATTATCAAATTTTGGCTTGGCAAAGGAATTGATGGATTTAGTTTCAACGCTGTTAAATTTCTCTTAGAAGCAACACATCTCCGAGATGAGCCTCAAGTGAACAAGTCCCAGAATCCAGTAACGTATATATTCTGTCTTTGCTTTTTCCCTGCATTTCCCCCTGGGGCAAGGGAGCGTATGTGTTTACTCTTTTGGGTCTTACGGCTTTAGGAAGACCGAGCCAGTTGTGTCCCTTGGCAGGCAGGTGGCTCCTAGGTGTTCTGCAGAAGGAGCACATCCAAGAGAGAAGCTCCTGGGCAGAGTGTGTAGGTCAGTGAGATACCCGCAAGCAGGAGTCCTATGTGCAGCAAGAGGATTGTCCTTGTACACTTCGTAGTTCTGTTCTGACACTGTTGCTTTGAATTGTCTGTTTAAAATAATTTGCTTTTCAATTTATATTCTAAAAAGACCAGTCCTCTGATTTTAACCGTTGATTGCTTGTCTTTGGGGAGCCCACTGCAAGAGGTAAGCTCAGAGCTCTTGGGATCCCATAGGCGTCACCAGCATGTATTTCTTCGACATTGCTGGTAGGAACCAGAGTCAGAAAAACCCCCTCGTATTGGCAGTGTGCCACAGTGAGAGGTGGCCAGACATGTTCAGAAGCGTGCACCCTGTTATTTATGCTATTTGCTTTTGCTGAGGCAATGAACTTGAGGACATCCCCAGATAGTGCCAGCACTAAGACACGCTTCCCCTGCCGAGTTGGAGATCGCATAAAACTGGTCAGCTCCACAAGTATTGTTTCCTTTATAAGTTACAACAATGTTGTCTGTCTTTCCAGCCTGGTGTGTGGCTGCAGCACTTGCTGTGCTCGCCGCTCCAGATGGGCTCGGTTGGTTAGCAGTGTGGGTGGGCTCTCCCTCTTGAAGGATGGAGTCCAAAATAATCATCCCTCTGCTATCGTATCTTCAGAGTTCCCCAAGTGCAGTTCAGCTCTGCACTGTTTGTGTTCATATGCTAAACTAATTTCAGTTGAAATTTATCTGGACTGGTGCATTGTCTCAGGAAAGGACAGGGAGAATTTGGAGAGTTCTGAAATCTAGAATATTGGTGAACTAATGGGAAATACTGTATCCTTCTTTAAGGAGAGTATCACAGCCTATTCCGAGCTCTACCATGACTACACGACCACACAAGTTGGTATGCATGATATCATCCGTAGCTTTCGTCAAACCATGAATCTGTTCAGCAGTGAACCTGGCAGATACAGGTAATCATAATTATGGCTAGTGAATTTTTCTTTAATGCTTATCATCCTATTGCTAGCAATAAAATGTTTTTTTAATAATGTAATATGCCATAAAAAGTTTTCTTTCTCAAATGCAAATCACGGTGCATGGGCTATACTCTCTCTTCCTCAATGTGTGATGGAAAGGAAATGAATTGTCCCTGCTGGCTCTGCTGTATCTATGGTCTGTGCAAAAACAGGCAGAATGGGCAACCATTCGGACCACAGAGACACTGTAATTAATCAGCCCCATGACTGATTTGTTGTATAGTATTAATAGTACAGTTCATGTTAGTGACCCTTTGCTGGACTCTCCAGTATGTCCCGTGTCTCTCCTGTACTGGGGAGCTCAAAACCGGACACCACGCTCCAGGCGTGGCCTCACCAGTGTAGAGCAGAGGGGAGGGATTCGCCTCCCTTGACCTGCTGGCAACCCCGTCCTGACGCAACCCGGGATACCATCAGCTGCCTTTGCTGCAAGGGCACATCGCTGGCTCATTTTCAGCTTGGGGCACCCCAAGGTCTTTTTCTTTAAAAGAAAGCATGGAAATTACTGGAACGGAGTTACGTGAGTGAGGGTTCAGAAAGACAAGACCAGTCAGATACTTATAGCCTTTCATTGACTATTGCAGATTTTTCTCCAGAAATTTCCAAGAAATGTCTCCTTTACAAAATATTGGTTTCTTTGTATTAATCTTTTCTGATGGGGAGGAGGGAAGCAAATGTAATTCTTAACACTGTGTTATTTTCGGACTATGTCCAATGCCATTCTGAGCTTCCTTCTGCTCCATACAAATCACAAATGAGCCAAAAAAGGTACTTGTGTACTTCTTTTAGGTTTATGGGTTCTGATGGTGATGAAAAGGAAGACATTGAGGCAACCATGGTGTATTATGGGACAACTTTTATTGAAGAAGCAGATTTTCCCTTCAATTTCAACCTAATTAATGTGAAAAATCTATCGGGCAACAGTATTTTTGAAGCTGTCAACTTGTGGATGAGAAACATGCCTGCAGGAAAATGGCCAAACTGGGCGGTAAGAATTCTAGACCTACTCTTATAGGAATGGCCTGTTCCTACAGGTGATACAAACCTACAGGGGATAGTTCCTCTTATGGTGATAGAAACCTCTCTCCCCCATTCATTTCAGTGGGATCAGCAGCTATAGTAGGTATCTCCACAAAACTCTCAGCTGCTGTAGTCGCTGGCATGGGCCAACCGACTGGCTGTGCTGCCCTTCGGTAAGTTACACTCCCTGTGCAAGGGTGGTGGAAGCGAATTTACGATCAGGCCTCTCCCTTGGTGTCCCCTGTGTAGTATGGGGCATTGGCTGAAACCGCCAGCGAGGGTGGCTTTGGTACAGGTACTGACACACTGCTGTGGGTTCTGGAAACCGGCCAGGGCCAGGGAAGGACAGAGCAGCCAGTTGAGGGCAGTTACAATCTTGCTGCTCTTTGCTAGGAGGTGTGTTTGGAGAGTGCAAGAGATCTACCATAGGCAATTCACAGAAACTGTGGGCCCTGATCACTCGCACAAAAGCAACACGGGAGCAGTTCTGTTTACAGAACAAATGTTTCTCAGGAATACTGTTTAATACCCTCAAAGCAGTGTCTCTGGGAGAGGGGGCAGCATTCCCAACAGAATATTTAGAAGCAGCTTTCCCCTGTTCTGGCTTTCAGAAAGAAAAAGGCAATGAGTCTGTCTACTGACCAGGTGGCCGCCCCTTATGTTTGACTGCATCCCTTCCTATGTTCCATTCTCTTTTATTTCAGTCCCATAGCCAAGTGTGTCTACTTTTTGGGCCCTTTCCTTCAGGGCTGCCAACTTTTCACAGCCCCAGTGAAAAGATGGGCTCAAGCAGTCATCGTTTCAAAACAAGTGCCGCCTTCGCACAGCAGAGAAGATGGCAGGAATCTGAAAGAATTGTAACCATGGAGAGTTATTTGTCATCTCCCCTTGCTTCTGTCTTGTGTGCTGCTGGCAGGGCTTCTGTGTGCTAAGTTACTGGAGGCAGAAGTCTGTACTGGTACCAAGATTAAGGCAATTGCCCTCACAGGCCTGGAGGGGAAAGAAACAAACAAAAAGCCCTACCACCTTGTTAAATTAGTTACCTAATTTCATGTTTGCATGGAATTTTATAATGTGTGTTTAACAGAGTGACGTTTTCTTTAGGTTGGAAGCCCTAACGCTGCTCGGATTTCATCTCGGATTGGGAAGGAGTATGTCAACGTTATGAACATGCTGCTCTTGACCCTCCTGGGTACTCCGGTAACTTATTATGGTGAAGAAATAGGCATGGAGAATATCGCGTCAGAAACTGTAAGCAAAGAGCCTATGAACTCTAATCTTGTTGTTGTTTACTTCTGAGTAACAGAACTTTGAAAAATACAAGAACTTTTGTTTAGTTAACCAAATCTAGTCTTTCTCAGTGTTTCGATGGTTTTCTGTGTTCCCCATGACGAAACCACTGGACAGCATGTGGAAATGGCCAGGCCAGGGGCCAGAACGAAGGCCTTGATGCGTGCCTGAACGGCTAGGCTCCAGTTGTGGTCCCTGGCTTCTGTCTTCTGCCAGATCAGTCTTGCATGGTTTGCAGCAGTGTTGCTTTGCTTCGCTTTGCTTCGGCAGAAAGGGCAGCCAGTGCCGACACCGGGCCTGGGCTGGTGGTTCGGAGAGGCGAGGCAAGAGGCACCGGGTCGGCGTCTCCTCCCTCCCACAGAAGTACCCCAACCGCTGTGTCAAAGTCCACCATTTCCTGGCCGCTTTTTACAGGAAATCAGAGTTCACGAGAGCGTAGCTGCAGTCGCCGTCTCCTGCAGACTGCTCTGCTCTGACTAGGTGAAGGCACCTGAGCCACAGTCTGCTTCTCAGGCTCTGAAGAAGGGGTCTCCAGGGAGGGGTGGGGTGGGTGTACAGAGCAGCCCCTGCTTGGCATTGCCTGGTAGCAGGCAGAAGTGGCTTTTGGTTGTCACACAGGGTTTTTTGATTTGTCTTTTGGTTCCCTTTCTGTAAAGGAGTTGGGTATGGGAGCCTGGGAGCCAGGTGCTTAACTCGCTCCATCCCAGTCACAAGTAACACCTGACAGGATGTCTGTGTGTGTTAGATGACAGAGATTTTCAGAAGTAAGTTTACTCAAGGTCAAGGCATTGAAAAGCATCTGTGCCTTCCACACTGCGCTGACCTGCGTCGGTTTTCATGTTCAGCCCGTCATTTCTTGTCTCTTCTGTGACCGTACCTGACTTCAGTTGTGTCTTGTTGTCCAAGGCACGTGGGTGTGACTGGCAGAGGCCATGCCCAAAAGGGAACGGCTCAGCTCTGCCTTGTATGACCTTATTTGAGCACTGTGAGAATGTGGTCCTACGGCAGATGCTGGTTTCGCTGTGGAAAGCCTCTGCCAGGGACTGAGACAGACTCTGGTGATGTTACCAATGGTGTTGACTGGTTTTGTATCAAAGCGAAAGAAGTATGGGATTATCGCCAGGCTTGTCTGATTCAGATGTGAGGAAATTATTCTCTGATTTAAAAGGAAGTCTCACTTACTCGGAGAAACAGCTAGGTCAAAATACCTCCTGCATTTTCCTCCTGCGGCTGATTGCTGCTGACAGAATGCTACTCTTCACAGAGGTGGCTTGCTCTTGGCTTCTCGGGGTTTACTCTCTTTTAGTGGCTACCCTGTGGCTCGTGGCTTTGTGACAATGCAAACCCACTCTCGCTCCACCTGCAGAGGGAGAATCTCTGATTAATGGGTGTCTCGGAAAGATGGAGAGTGTTGCCTCAGGGTGTAGTTTTAGCCCCAGCATTTGAAACACTTCAAGAGAAGCTAAAAGAGGTAAAGACGAAAGGGAGTGTTACCAGTGCTGAAAACTTCAGTTGTTTTTTTTTCCTGCTTTTCAGAACATGCTAAAAGGAGAAACCCGTTATTTACAGTGTCACAAAGCAAAGTGACAATTTCTTTTGTTGAGCTGCTGTTCTGACAGATTGTATTGAAAAGTGCCCTTTATATGAAAAACAGTTTTCATGGAAAACAAACACCCAAAGTATGTGCAAAATATTTTATGCCCTCTTATATCATTAAATTTAAGTGTTCGATCTTGTGGCAAGCTCTTCAGTAACAATGAGGAAGCTTTTTTTCAGAATTTTTCTGAATCCTTCAAAATAAGAACTTCAGACTTTTCACGTCAACACTTTTTAATCAGCTAAAGGCTGGTTTTCAATAAAGTTTTTGCACTTGGAAATAATTTTATCTTTCCAACGCAAATTATCCTGTCCAAATTGTACCCCTTGCAAATACAAGCTTGACGAGTTCTAAGGTGAAAAGTGTGGTGGCTACAAAAGAACAGGCATTGCACAGCATTTACTAGTTGTTTACTGTTATTTTAACATCATCTCCTCCTAGGACTCATTACTTCACACATTCGCTCACTGCATGTCTAGATATTTATCAGAATATCTTAGTTGTCGTTAGTAAACTTTTATTCAACCGTCTAGTAGAGTCATTTGGGAATTCCACATTTTACCCAGTGATGCCGTATCCGTGAGACCATCCACTCTCCTCCACTTGGGGAACTGTCCCCATTCTTATTTTCTCCTTAGATTTGGAGCAGGATTGCATCCTCATTATTAAAGTTTAACTTAAACCAGCAAAAGCAATGCTGAAATGGTGATCAGCTGGAAGATGTGAGAACACACTGTTCAAGGGGTAGTTTTTTAAGATGCTCATCAGAACAAGTAACTTCTTGGTAGTGGCTCTGACACCACTTTATTTTCCAGGCGACCTTTCCAGAGAAATCCCCCATGCAGTGGGATGGCAAAGTCAATGCTGGTTTTACTGAAGGCAACGGTAGCTGGTTACCTGTTAACTCTGACTACCAAAGGGTGAACGTTGAAGTAGGTATCTATGTGTGTGACTAATGGTTTAAAAATATTTTAATGTTATCTGTTTTACTCCTCTTTTACTTAGTGGGAACTGGCAGTGCAGCTAATAAGAATAAACTCAAGGGAAGAAAATAATAATTAAAAAAGCACTGAATCCTCACAAACTTTATTAGAAAAGGAAACCCTTGAAGCAGCAAGGAGCCTACTTCATCTACACTCATTTAAGCTGAGAAACTGCAATGATGATGTCGATATGGCAATGTGGCACTTTAACATCCTTTTAATCAGTTTCATATTAAATTGAAATCTAGTCTTTTTTTCTATTACTATAGAAAGCAGTGTCCTTGTAACGAGAACTTAACATAGACCATGTCTAACAAGTAAAGAACAGTGTTTTCAAGGCAGTTGCGCAGTGAATCAAACAGGTTTTGCTGATCTACAGTGCTGACCAGAACTGAAGAAAGAAAAAAATAAATGCAAGACAGGAAGAATATAAACCACAAAACAAACCCTGTGACTTCAGTAGACTAGACTCCATGAAAAATGTTCAGTGCCAAGCTTTGAATGGCTGTCGCTTCCTCCAGAATGAACGATGCTGTAAGGACAGCGCGGGAGGAAGAAATAACATTAGTGCAGGGCAAATTCTGTCACGCCTCAGAACCTCTGGCTCTGTCACTCGCCAGGTGCCAAGGAAGTGCATTCAGTGGAATTTGCAGACAAATTTGGAGACAGGTAGTTGTCAAAGCTGCGTTCTGATGGGTGTGTTCTCAGCAGACTGTGTGGCCATGAGAGGCAAGTGGCATTTCCTCCACTCGGTGCAAAGAAATGACCCTGTTCCTGTTGACTGTTGCAGATCCAGATGACCTGGTCCAACTCAACCCTGAACTTGTACAGAGAGCTCACTTTGCTGCGCAACAGCGAGCTACCCATGCATCGGGGGTGGATGTGCTACATCTGGAACGACAGTAACATTTTTGTGTACGTGAGGGAGTTGGATGGGTTAGACAGAGTCTTCATGATGGTTCTCAACTTTGGGCAGGAATCGACAATAGACCTGAAAGCTATAGTTCCTAGCCTCCCATCTGAAGCCATTGTAAGACTAAGCACTAATTTCAGCAATGCTGGTAAATCTGTCAATACCAAACTAATTAAAACTGAAATGGGAGAAGGCCTGATCCTCGAATACAAAACAGCAAAGCCTGTTCATACTATGGAAGCTTTTCAAGGAAATTGTTTTGTGGCAGAAAAAGCTTGTTATTCCAGTGCCTTCAATTTACTCTATGTGAACTGTTAAGTGCAGGAACAGAATAACTAAGCTTTCACGTTAATTTAGAAAACATTGGTTTTGGGGAAATGCTAAAAAGTTTCAGTTTCTTCAGCTTTTAAAACTTTGTGTACAAAATAAGTGTCCTGAGAAGTAAGAACTACCTAATTGTCTTGCATCTGTACTGGTGATGAAAAGTATGGTATAAACTCCGCTTAGGGTCTGTGGAGAAGAAAACTGTCCTAAAAAACTGTGCTGTTTAAGGGCGTGTATTTTTGTGAGGAAGGAGAACAGTTGCATTCCGGGTGCTGCCCCTTACAGTTGCTGGTCATTAATTGCTCCTGTAGAATTCAAAGCCCGTGGCAGTTCACAGTAACTTTTAAAAAGTCTGTGGATTTGTAAAACTTATTCTAAAGGGGTGGCCCTGTATTTGTTAAAATAGGTAAACGCAAGTAAAACTAATATATAATGTTGTGATGGCTTACGTCTTCTCTCAACTCTAACAGCTCTGACTATCTTCAAAGTTAGTAAGAAAAAGAACAAAATGTGGCTAATATGTCCAATTCTACACTCAGGACTTTCCAATTGATTCTCCCTCCCTGCTGAGTTACAATACTTTTGCATTCTTTTATTTCTTTTTCTGCTCTAAGGTTGAAGTGAGGTGTGCATAGGTTAATTAAGAGTAAGCAACTGAAACAACCCTACTGACTGTCACAGTTGTCCACGTGATGCCCAAGCAAGCAGGTCTCAGGTTTTTTGATTTGCATTTGGTGCAGTGACAGTAGCACGAAGGATAAGCATTTGATTTGGCGCAATCTGTTTTGGACATGGGGGTGATCTGGGGAACTCTTGTTTTGGTTTGAGAAGACGACTTTTAAATCAAATACTTCTTGGGAGTTTTAAAAAAAAGAGCGGTCTTAGGGTGGAAAGGCTGCCTGTACAAGGTGTGTGTCTTCACATGTTCAGCTTCACACACCAGTCATTGCGCTTCAACTCCACTGGTACAGTGCAGCACCGCTTCTTATGTGAACAGAACTGCACCGAACAGGCTGATCAACGCAGGTGGCTACTTCGATACTACCTGTCAGGGGAGAAATTGAGCTCTCAGGCTGTGTATTTATAAGCCAGTGCCACACCCAACTTTGTCTTTGAATTTCTTGTCTGCTTATGCCCATAAAACAGGGATCCAAAAGGATGCATCCTCTGGAGAAGGTGTTTGCTTTTCATGTAAATAAAAATCTGACCCGAAGTTCATCAGGTGGCCAGTGTGTTTATTAGCTATTTGCAGGATTGGTATGATGCTGGAGACTGCATACTTCCTCGAGTTCTTTGTTCAGAAAAGCAAGGTGTCTTGCAACCTAAAATAATGAAAATATTTTTATTACAAAATTTTTTGCACTATAAAACGTCAGGTTCTTGCATAGCTATTCTAATCTTCCTTTCCCATACTAATGTGAAGCAATACCTTATCGTAAGACAGAACGAGGCTTTTCCTGAAAGAATTAATTTTTGGAATAACTGCCACAACAACCAAAGAGTATTTGCTATGATTTGTTAAAATTAGCAGTAATAAGATGTGTATCCAACTGTGATAGTCTAAGACATTGATAACAATATGGTAGGTCTTGGCAGTATGTGGCTTTTGGCATACACACTTGTAGGAAGTGCAAAATGCTGAAACCTAACTGGAGTAGCATCCTTTGATAGTACAGAATATGTATTTCAAAATGTGAAGGTCAAACCCATCATACAAGTTTTACTCATGAGGAAGATGGAAGTAAATAGCCAGTATAACAATTTTAAGCACTTTACAGTGCAAGACTTTTCCTGCTGGAACAACGTTTTGCACAAGCTCAAATGTTTCATTCAAAGCTGTCAGCACATTACAGTGGGACTTTAATACTATTTTGAGGCTTAAGGCACAATGAGGTTCAATAATCTGGCTCTATCACAGGCTCTCATATATATAAAAGTATATGTATCAAGATATATATATGATTTTATACAAATAAAACCAACAGTTGCTCTTGCAATATGTATAAAAGGTTGCAAGAACAACCTTACTTCCTGCAGTGTCTTTTTTCCTTCTTTTCATACTTCAAACACACATTCAATGACTGCATGAATGACTGAGGTTGAAGCATCAATTGAGGGGACACCTCCCTTCAACAAGTTACGGATGTGTGCAGTAAAGGGAACATACCTCATTCAGTGACTCCTCCCAAGATGAATCACAATGACTGCCAGTTGCCTGGATGTCTAAGATGATACTAGGGATCCAATTTCCTGGAACAATGAAGCTAGCAATCACTTGACATTGAATGAACAAGGAAAAAGGCATAGATAATTCTGCCTTCTGTCCTGACAGAATTTCTGTTATTGCTTTAAGAAGGAAAAAAAAAAATCATATAGGGGCTTGCTGGGTGAATTATTTGTATTTCTATTAACTACATATCTGAAAAATGTTGATATATTTAGCATGTTTGTTCTCTCTCTGAGCGTTTTTGGAATGATGTGCTTTTTCCTTTCTGAGCAAAGACCACAACGGTAACTGCAGCATCTGCTGTCCTTTCTTGACCACTGCAGTTGTGCTGCTAGCAGAGAAGGGGCATAACGAAATTTAGAAAAGCTAATTCAAGATCTATTTTGCTACTGATGGTAAAAGCCTCTCCCCAGATTAGATGGTACTAGAAAATAGTAAGGCTCGAGCGCATCTTTTTCTGGAAACAGTCCCAAAGCTAGTGTTAAGTTTCAGGTATAACAGCGTCTATGCCTTGGCACTGCTGTCATTCTAACTTGGACTAACCCCTGCAGTTTTAGCAAACTGGGAAAAGTAGATTTTTATAGAGAAAAAAAAATATGATTTTTATCCATGTCTTGTTGAGAACGGCAGTCTGACAGTATCAGCATCTGGACTAGACGGTATGGGTTCACCTAGCGAAAGAGTGGGCCCAACTCCTATTCTCCCAGTCTTTATTTTTTTTCTCATCTCAGAGGGTTTCCTGGGCCTACTGCAGTTTGTCACTGTTAGTATTAAACACATATGGGTTTAACTATTTTCAGGCAGATCTACAATACAGAGATATCTGATCCCTCTTAAGGCTCTGGAGAGTGCATCTTAGAAGCTGAGGTTTGTTTATTTACAGCATGACTGCACACTTCATCTTTGCAGATAACAGAAATTACTTCAGAGCTTTAGGAACTGGATCTTATTGTACAAATGAATGCATTTAAGGAGGGGCCAATCTCTATGGTGTTTAATTACATGACTACTAATGTTCTGCTTTAGTTAACTCTGTGTATATGTGATATTCTTATTCTTACCTTTCTCACTTGTTCTGCTGGCATGATCTAGTACAGCCTTCCTAAGTTTCTGAACATATCGCAAAACTCCGGCTAGTGGTATCCGTTGATCATTTTCATACGCCGTGATAAAAACTGAAGGATAATACTGAGATTAAAAAACAAAACCAGTTAAGACTTGACAACTGATTTTTCTCATGAAGTAACATTCTTCTCTATTTATCTTAATGTACTACTTGTTATGGTTTATCTAAACACACACCTATTGCATAATTACCTGTTCTTAAAAAAAGGCACTTGTATCACTCCAACTGCAAAAAGTATTTTGGTCTGAAAAATGACTACTTATTAGGTGATCATCTATTTGCAAAAAGTAATCAAAAACATCCTCTCCCCACTGGTGAAGGTCTGACACATGTCTGCTTGCTGGTGATTACAAAAAAAGGGGACTAATAATCATGGCATGGTTCTCCTCAGCACAGTAGCTGAGGTTTACTTTTGCAATCTTTCTACACATAAAAAGTAGTTGTTTTTATATAGTAAGATCAGTGGAAAATGCCTCCTTCCTCCTGTGACAATCTCTGAAAAATCCAGTAGAACAACAGAAACCCCCCACAAAAGGAGATCATATGTTACACATTGAGGTTTGTTATACGGTAGAATAATCTACTACTTCCTGGCAGTCCTATAACAAAAACAGTTTTTTAAATCTACTGATTATTTAGGAGATGGCGTTTGGTTAATTTCAGTAGTCACTTATGACTCCAAATACTGCTAACATTATTACTGAAATAGTTTATATTTGTGTTGATGATTCATTTTAACACAAAGCAGCAGCTAGGACAATTCTAAAATATGGAGTTTTAAAGCACTGAAAAGATAAAATAAACTGTTTTTTTAATTCCAGTTATCCATTTCTGGTTTTCTTATGAACTGCTACACTTTAATACTGTAGTATTCCACACAGAAAGCATAGTTTTACCTGTGGCTTAATATTCTGGTATGGACAGTAGCTTTTGATATACTTCATACATTTTTCATCTGCTAATGGATTTCCCCATTCTTCCCGTTCTTCAATTGTCAGTGGGAGATAAGTTTTCATCATTGTATTTAGAACATCTACGAAAGGAGCCTTAAGTTTTTTTTAAAAAAAAAAACAAACAAAAAACAAAAACAGAAGTTGGCAAATAGGACACAGGAACTCAAATGCCTAGGTCAAGGTTTTCCTCACATAAATGAGGAAAGTCAATTCTGAATTGGAATGTTTGCAATTCTGAAACTAGTAGAATGAAACAGAAAATACACTTTAACATCATATTCCATAAAAGGCCTGCAGCACCTCACCTGTAAAACCACGGCTCTGAGAAGTTCTGGATCGGTGTTGCACAGGGCTCCTGCAAGAACTCCTCCTGCACTGGCAGCTGCTAGCGCCGTGTATTTTGGCTGAGAAAATCCTAGTTCGTGCAGCAGCATGATGCAAGCCTTAAGGTCATGGAGACCTTTGAATTTATTATGCTGACATCCATCTTTGTGCCAGCTAAGGCCTAACTCTCCTCCACCCCTGAAATTTAAAGCAATTCAAGTTGGAGTCTCTTTGGAAAACGTTACACGGCAAAGCTTCAGATAATGAAAGGACAGCCCCAGAATTTCAAAACCATAGTTTGCCTTCCCAATTAACTCTTCTTTATTCTTGTCCTTTATGGCTAAAATACACAATGTGCAAACAA